TCACTGGCTCCAAAAATCCAAGATGTCAACCAGGAAGTAGCAAAACTCTGGCTTCATTTTCTCAGTGCAGAAACCAACGGGTGACGTCACGGTAGCTACGTCCATCTTTTATACAGTCTATGGTCAGGGTTCAGCCGACCCTCATTCACAAACAGCAGAATAGAAATAAATTCACTGAAACCCAAATGTAAGGAAAAGAAGAACAAGAAATGGAAAGAGAAAGAGAAGTAGCATGAACAGAAAGAGAGTTGAAACACAAAGGTATTTTCTTTCCCTTTACCCATTTCAGACAAGGGACAATCATTTTCAAGCGAGTGTGTCCTTGACTGACCCCGCAGGATTACGCTTTGGGCTTTTGTTGTGATTGTCTATCGACTCTATTTGTCTTGTATGATCAGGTCAGCTCAAATTTGACTTCAACCCTGAAAAACTCTTCCGTACAATACATCTTTTTTTATGAAACTTCAAAGAGAAATATGATCTGTGGCCTCAGATCCGACTCTAACAAACAAAAAAAAAAAAAACTAAAAACTTTTGCAGGTGAGGAAAAAATCTATCTATGGCTGCGATGCTGTGTGAGCGTCTAATGAGGGCTGATAACATAATTACACGATTGAGTCTGCGTGTGTGTGTGTGCTTCTTATAAAAAGGGATTTTTGTGTTCAGTTTTTCACCTGTTTTTTTATTTATTTATTTATTTAACTCTTCTCTTCACTCCATCAGCCCCCACCCAGCCTCCGTGTCACACACTTGTCTGCCAATTACTCTGAGCACATGGAGTAACAAGCACTATTCCAACAAGTCAACAAATATAATTGCCTCCACCTTGGAAAAACAAATATAACTGCTGCTATATTTGCGTCATTATGACTCAGCCCGCATTTTCCATGCAGCTTTGAAATTTACTGGTGTCAAAAAAAAATCACTAAGTTCTGAGGAGGGATTTTTGATGATTGTTCCACATCGTTAGTTATCATTACTTTCCTTATAAAAACGGGTACTGAGTGATGGTGGAGAAAGTGGGAAGAGTAAGGTTAATAGAGACATTCGGAAAGCGTCCCGTAAATCATCCACGAAGAAGAAGAAGAAGAAGAAGAAGAAGAAGAAGAAGAGAGAGCAAGAAAGAGATGGAATGGGAGTAATAGCAGGAGCTGAAGGAGAAAAGTAAGATGAAGGGAACAGCTGAAGGAAGTGAGAGGAGGAAAGAAGAACATAAAAAAGAGCAAGGAACAAGAGACTAAAAGTGCCTAACTTTGCTGCAAAAGCTCTATTTTTTATTCAAGTCTGCTATTTCGGCACAGTCGAGTATGACAGCTGACGAAATTACAGCTCAGATGCTGTATATCTTATGTAAATACGCTGCTAATGCTACAACACCGCTATGAAATATGAATGTAATTTATAAAATATCGAGCTACGGGTTCCTTCGTGCGGATCATCAGTGGCTTAAATTAACCCGTTAATTGTCACGTTACACTTCGCTCACTGTGGCTCCTGTCTTTGGGCCCGAAGTCCGACCATGCGTCAAAATTCAATGTTCTGCCTAATCTAGGGTGAATTCCCTCCGAAATCAATTGCTCTCTGAGGCCGACGCCGCGAGACATTTGTTTGAATTGGCATACTCGTTTTTCATGGTTAGATGTGATGTGTTTTACAGCTTTAGTTCATTTAGAAGGGACACGTCAACGCTTCTGAATCATTTCCATCAACTTACTTTGCATACAGAGTCCATCGGTGCAGTTTTGAGACTGAAGCACGAGTCCCTCGCAGTCCTTTCCGCCGTTTTTAGGAGCCGGGTTGTTGCAGTCCCTCCTCCTCCACTGCGTACACTCCGTCCCACAGGCCGACCACTTGCTCCACTCTGTCCACACACCGTCCACTGGAGGGGAAGGAGGGGGAAACAAAAAATGACAATGTCTTAAACCTCGTAAAGTGTAGTATGGAAAGTTGTGCAAATAAAGAGAATAACATTGGGGCCTCATTGTCAAATAGGAAACACGGTCGTCCTCAAATGTATTCAGACCCTTCCATTAAAGAAAAGGCAAAATTCACAAAAGTTCCTCAAATAACTAGAAACTGAAAAAAAGCATTAATAAATAAAAATTTGCTAAATTATAATTTAGTGAAATAAGACATCGCTTTTGAATTGTGGTTGAAAAGAATAATTTAAAATTTCCGTGGCCAAAATCTCTCATTTTTCTAACACAAACCAAATACTATTACAGTAAAAAGTGGTCATATGCACTGTGTTCCAGTATTATTTGTCATTGCGTGACATGTGTGTGAAAGTAGTTACAGCCTACTTTGATTGCCATCATCACAAATCTTTTCTATATCTTATTTGCATTCATCATTAAGTTATTTTTCTCAACCTGCCTCACGTTGACCCATAGAAACCGTCTTTAAGGCTTTCAAACGTCTCACAGGTGACGTGACAATGCAAGCACAGAAAAAAAAACAGAGGAGGAACTGCTTCGGGTTTAACTGAAGATCATAAGTGGAAGAAGGTTGTGAAGTAGTCATGCCATTATGAAAAATAGGCCTCGAGACACTGAGGTTGCTTGCTACACTGATGTTTTTCTTTTGTTTTGTTTTGTCTTTTACAAATAACATAACATAACATGTTTAAATGCCCTGTGTATTAAACCTTTCTGTTGTTATTTGGAAGAAAAAAAAACATATTTTAAAGTTTAATTTGAGCACTTTGCTGATGAGCAGTGGACCAAAATCAAAATACCTGTAAACAGGTGCAGAAGTCTGATTGATTGCAGTGATTGGCTCAAAGGGTTGTTCAACAAAATGTCAGTTTACGGGTCCAATCATGCTTGTTTTTTTTTTTTTATACATATATTTCTGTTTAACCACAATTCATGATTTTCATTAAATTCTAATTTCTCATTACTTTTGTCAATTTCAGCTTATTTCACTGACAGCTGTTGTTTTTCCTTCTTTAATGGGAGGGTGTGAATACATTTGAGGACAACTGAAGTGAATAGAACAGACTTACCAGTGCACAGTGTGGTGCAGGGCAGCTTCTGTATGGCCTGTCCATCACAGGGGAGTCCACCGTTGAGAGGGGCGGGGTTAGTACAGCTCCTGGTTCGCTTCTGGAAGCCTCGTCCACAGCGGCTGTTACACACAGACCACTCGGTCCATGTCGACCAGCCGCCGTTCACTGTGGACACAGAGATCAGTCGCTTGATGAATACAATGGTGCATCGTGCTTTAGTCCTCTAACAGCCACCCACACGGAGACACCCCACCACCAAAAGTTTCACCTTGTGTTCTGCCGTGTGTGCTTACGGTAGGAGTTATTATTTTAAAAATGACCGCACCAGAGGGCTGAACTACCAAGCACGTTTGACATGGGCGCTCTCTGTGAAAGCTAAAACCTAAAACCCCCAAGCAGAGATAATGGGTATCACAGCGAAGGTTATCAACTTCCTTTGTTAGCTCGGGTTTTTCTACATCAGGCTCTGTGGCTGCTCCCAAAAAAAGTAGGCATTTGACTTGCCATTTGACTCTTCTTCTGCTCGAAATGGAACCATCGCGGGTTGCCTACTTCAGTCGAGAGGAGCTGGTTGCTATAATAGAGAGCTACGAGGAATATGAAAACTTATTATCGTAAAAACCACTGTTACTGCAAATGATGCAAGAGAGGAATGCTTTGTGCTTATTTGAAATGTGACAGCTACACATTGGAGCTCTTAAACTCTTAGCGTCATACAGTTAAATATAACAATCAAATATGGGTCTGACACGCTCCAACAATTAAGGATACGTGGAAATCACTTCAGTTTAAAGTAAATGTAATATTCCTGTGATAAATGCCAATACCCTAATCAATTTTCTAATCTGTGTGATACTAGCTGCCATACCAGCAGTGGAAAATGAACTCGGCAGGAGATTAGGATCAAGCATTCCAACATATTTATGCAATTTCTGCTTCACCAGCTGAACGCATTTGGATTCCCATGGCAATGCAGCACATGCATTTTTCCTACTGTAAGTGCACCGCTTCATTCAGTGGCATCAATTACTTACAGTTCAACAGGTTGTCAGAAATAACATATTCCCTCAGCTGAGAATCTACTGCTCATAAGGAAGATTGTCAGGAAAGGAATTGCTGCAAGAATGGCCCCTATTATAGCTGATTTGAACATAACCTCCTCCGGAGCAGGTTAGCTGTGCAGCATCAGTTACCATGGCGATATAGCCAAGTTAGGAGAGAGCCATCTCCGTGACAATTAAAGCTCATAGCTCACTAAACATACCTGGCTAACCCATTAGTTTCGCTTTGTAGAACACGCCTCAGCTGAAAACGTGAGGTGGAAATGTGCAATATCCTTATTTTCGTAACTTTTTCTAGTGCCAGCAGACCATGGCAGTCTGTAGGAGCTCCCTGCAGATGAAATATAAGGTGGATGATCAGCCATCTCTACAAAACAACAAACATTTTATCCCACTTTGCAACTTTTCATTTATTTGCTGCTTTAAAGACCTTTTTAAAATAACAGATTGCAAGGGGTTGTTAAATCTCAGCTCTAAAATTACTGGCAAAACACAAAGGTCTTAATACTAAACAAGCCCTCAAAAAGGCAGTTGATGAAGTACAATGAGCGCCTACAAGTCCAGGTCATCGGGAACATGTTTAAATTGGGCTGGAAACCCTCATCCTTAATGACGAAATCTGGGATTTTTATGTATTGTTTGATTTCTATCAAATATTGGATTTGTGCGTCGCTGAAGTTTAGTGAAAACAGCTGGATTCTCCTGCACACCAAAGCCACACACACAGGCTTCTGAAATTTTTAATTTTCCTGCAGCTACCACAGCACAGTTTTCCCTCCACTGTGTTTACTCTCACTAATACACTGAGGGAAGGAGACACACACTGACACAGATATGCAAACACATCAAGTTGTACGGCCCACTTAACACACAGTACAACACAAAGTACCGCGCTCCTTCTCAAATTCTGAACTTTCATTGCGGAAAGCACGAGAAGAAAAAAAAAAAAGCTAAATCGTGACTTGGGTTAGTTGAGTATTTTCATAATCTGTTTGTATCTCGAGCTGCAGGTCCCGGTGAGGACACCCGGAATCTTTCTTTGTGGAGTTTGTGGGTTCTCTCCAGGTTCTCCGGCTTCCTCCCACAAGGTCCAAAACCATCCATCCATCCATTATCTATACACCGCTTAATCCTCACTAGGGTCATGGGGGGCTGGAGTCTATCCCAGCTGACTTAGGACACCCTGGACAGGTCACCAGTCTATCACAGGGCTACACTTAGAGACAGACAACCAAGCACACTCACATTCACACCTACAGACAATTTAGAATCACCAATTAACCTCAACATGTTTTTGGACTGTGTGGGAGGAAGCCGGAGAACCCGGAGAGAACCCACGCTGCATGGGGAGAACATCCAAACTCCACGCAGAAAGATTCCGGTGCCCCCACCGGGACGCGAACCGGCAACCTTCTTGCTGTGAGGCAACAATGCTACCAACTGCACCACCCTGCAGCCCGTCCAAAAACATGTTGAGGTTAATTGGTGATTCTAAATTGTCCGTAGGTGTGAATGTGAGTGTGCTTGGTTGTCTGTCTCTAAGTGTAGCCCTGTGATAGACTGGTGACCTGTCCAGGGAGTCAGCTGGGATAGACTCCAGCCCCCCATGACCCTAGTGAGGATTAAGCGGTGTACAGATAATGGATGGATGTTTGCATCTCTTCTCCTCTTTCTTTTTTACTGCATCCTTTTACATTTTACTTAACCGGACCTTCATTATTTAGCATTACTGTCGCTGCTTTACCAGACGAAAATGAAACAGGACAGAGCAGACAAAGACGGGCAGATGAGACGGCAAGAAAGAGAGAAATCAGGTATTAAAGTTGAGAATGAGTCACAAGGCCACCCAGAGAGAGAGAGGGCTGGCATCCAGAGAGGTGCAGTGGGCTGAAATTCCTCCGCTGCATCTCGACAGCTCTGTCTCAGCCCGGTGCATAGTGCCCACTCCTTTCCAAACGCCCAATTAGAAATGAATCATCAGAGCGAAAGTAACCAGCGAAATTTAGGCGGCCGCTTTTGTCTTGTATTTCCTGAGGTTTTTGCTGCTTTCTTTTCCTTCTTCGCCCAACTGCTTTCTCCCACTCTCTCACCTGTCTCCCTTCCTCCTATAGCTGCTTCATTTATTTTTTTTCTCCCCTTATGCTCCTGTGTTTTTTTTTTTTTCTTTTCCACAACAATTTCACCTTGTCAACAGTGTCAGCCAGGCCCTTGTGGAGCCGAGAAGATTGAACCAGAGATTGAACAATCTATTTCTGTAAGGATACATCAGTGTCAAACCACTCCATCTCTCGTTGTCTGTATCGAACAGGCACAGACGCTCAGTTATTTTGATTGAAACACTCCTACTAGTGAATAGAGTCAGTGTTATATTTGAGAGAAATATTTGTGTGTCTGTGTGTGTGTGATCTGCTGTACATCGTTCCTCCTGAAAATGTTTCCTATCCTCTCACGTCAGTCTGGCATTTGGTAAAATGGGGAGAAAAAAAAAAGAGAAAGTGAGGCATATGAGGCATGTTCCTCCCCATCAACAAGCCTTTCCTCTGCAGCTTTTAGTAAAAATGGCACCAGGAGAGTTTTGCCTGAAAAGCAATCAAACACCAGAACTAAGCTATTCAAAGTTTTTTTTATTTGGTTGTTGTTGTTGTTATTTTTTTTCCCACAGCTGTTATTGCGCCATATGCCGCACAATTCATTTCGAGCCGGGACTCTTGGCAAAAAGCGCGAACATTTGGAAAGCCAGAGCGTTCTAATTTCAAACTGACGGTGCCATTGGTGGGTTTTAATTGGACGAGGTCAAGGGGTGATGTGAGAATATCAGGCCAATCACAAAGAAAGCGTGTTGGCATGGCGGTAGAGCTAATTTCATGTGGCAGATGGGGGGGGAGGGCTTGGCTTGGCTGATCAGAGACAGAGTTGGGCAGCTTCAGGTTTGAAAAGGTGTCATATCGGGAAAATTCCAAACGTTAGACATGTAAAATGTCACCAACACTCATGATAACACATCACCCAAATCGGTGCTGGTTTTTTCAGACGCACAGACTCACCATAAACGATAACCGTGGCCGTCGTGCTTCGCCTTTTGGCCACGATGTTTTTAGCCACGCACGTGTAGTTGGCCGTGTCGGACAGACGCGCCTGCTTGATGATCAGGTTGTGGTCGATGGTTATGTAGAAGTTCCTGTCCTCCGCCGGGTCGATTATCTCCTCATTCTTTAACCACTCCACCTGGTAGACGAAGAGAAGAGAAAAGCGAGGTTAGTACGAAGGTTTCTCTACACAAAAGAGAGAAGATCAGAAAAAAACGTAGCAAATAAATGACGATAATGACAATATGAAGCTACAGGTTTGTACCAGTCAACCTGATTAACCCAGATACACATAATATCACCGTCAATTTCTAAGCTTGTTTTTTTTTTTTTTTCCCAAACCTGATCCACTTGGAGAGAAATTGCTGATAAAATAAAACTGGGGAGAAACATAAAAATGCTTTTGAGAGCATCTAAAACAGTCTATCTGTCAGAATAAAAGAACAAAAGTTTCTACAGATGACAAATGAGGGAGGGATGGGAGGACTTTTTTGTTTTAATGGCTCCACACAGAAAAGTACACGTCACATTCAGTATTCCAAGTAAATAAATATCTGAAGGATAGGAGGCCTTGTAGTGACGGCCGAGACTCTCCTGGAAGTAAAACTGCTGTCCAAACTCTTCCTGAACATACTACTGTAGGTTACACATTTACAAGCAATTAAAGGTAATGCATGGGGCAAAATGTAATAATAACAACACTAATCATACATGATGAAATCTCACAAGGTTGTTTATGCATCAAATCACAGCTGGACCCTTCCCCGGTACGGAACCCCGGGGTGGCAGCATAGACGAGGAAAAATGCCCCGAGCATATGCTTCCACAAGGTACTTTGGGTGAAGGGTAGGACAGAGGGAAACTATTGTATTTATGAGCCTAATCACATTTCCTGAGTGCTGTATTTACTGGTCCAAACCCTCATAAATTCAGCCCGTCCAAGCTTTATGGCAGCCACATAAATGTCCAAGCTGTGTTGTTTAATTCATGTTGTTTAATTTCCTCCTCCCTTCACATTAGGAAATGGAAATCTCAGATGCAGAAGAAGAGGAAATTCAGTGTTATTCTTCAGTTTACTGCCTCCTCGGGCTCAGCTGTCATTCTTCTTCTCTCAGTTATTCCACCTGCTTCTCTCTCTCTGATCTTTACAGATTCTGTAGTACTCTTTGGCCATGGGGCTCAGCGCCGCTCTGAATTCTCAATCTTACGCGAGATGCCGTGTGACCTTTCAGTTTCCATTACAAAGTGAAGGTTATATAGAGAAAAAAAAGCCAAACGAAAAACATCTACAGTATATCCAGTGCAAATGGTCAGGCAACAAGTTTAGCCTTACGCCGTGGGAGTATAAATTAGTGAAGGTGCTCTTTCGCAACAACAGCAAATGCGATATATATATATTACGTTGTGAAGGAAAACAAAAGGCTCTTTGAATCTCTGTTTATTCATGCTTGACATAGTTAAATAAGAGGCTCACAGGGAACAATAAAAAAAAAGTCTTTGCTGAAATAAAAACTCAAGTAAAAGTAGAGTAAAATGAATCATATTAGCTGCACCCTGATCAGATTAGATCACATTACAAACCTGACTGGGAAGATAAATCCATCTAAGCACTGCAATTTAGGTAATCTTCAGCAAAATAATACGACAAATCGACAAATTCTGTCCTCAAAAAGTAAATGGATAGTACATGTACTTATAGATCCATATTCTATATAATAGGAAAACAATCATCGTCACATTCTCAGGAAATTGTATACCTATAAAAAACTAAAGTGCTTTCTCAACTACATTTTTAAGGAAACATATTTTCTCCTAAATTACTCGTGTTTGTTACACAGCTTGTTGGTACACAATTACACAGCTTTGCCAGTTTTTTGCATTGTTGTACAATTGGCCTTTTTTTCTGATCATGTATTAGAAGGAGTTGGACGTAAGGGCGTATTTTAACCCAAACCATGATATTTTTTCTGACCGAGTATTACCGGTGGACTTAACCTAACCCAACAAATACATACATATATATATATATATATATATACACTCATATATACTTCTGTCCTCTATTTAGGGAAACTATTCAACATATAACCAAAAATATGATTTTAAGAGTTGATTTCTTGCATGAAGGAACAAAACAAAATGTTCCCCTTAAACCAAAACCGAGTTTCAGAGTTATTCATTTCATTTTTTAACTTTCTTTTTTTGTTGTTTCCTTAAGTGGCAAAAACATGCAAATTTCACATCCCAACAAACCAACGAAACAAGAAAACAAAGAGTGAAGGAGTCAAGCGACGCCTCCCAGTGGTTCCATCGTCACCAATGGGAGAAGGGTCGCTCTGTTGTTGTTGTTTTTTGTTGTGAGTAAAAATGTAAGTACACAACAATGCAAAATTAAACTTAAATCAAGGAATACGAGTCACCTTGCTGGAAGTCCTGTATTTGTCTAATGGGTTGTATCATATATTCACTTTATTAGCTTCACCTCGTCGGTACAAGACAAAAGTCACATTTTTTTTCCCCCTCACATCTCGCATTTCCTGAAAAAGTCTGAGAGACTGATGTGGAGAACACAGTGGCCAGTGGCATAATGTAACGTTAGTGTCACATCCCCGAATGCTCTGAAAGATTTAGGTGATGGCTCATTATGCTGCAGAAAATATTCAACAGAAAAAAAGGGCAAGACTGTCCACGATTCAAGTTTGTTTTTCATCATGACACAGCACGGACACAAATGCTCAGAATAATGCTTAACAGCTAGTTTGCAACTTTTCATGTGAGCAGGCTATTAAAATATGTAAGTGATGTGGATGGGCATGCATTTACTAACACACATTTTAGGATGGAGACTTGGTTGAAGGTCAGGGTGAAGTTGACTTTCAGGTCAGAATGAGGGTCATGGTCAGGCAAGACGTAATTAGGATTGAGTGAAGTTTGTACGTATAAGTTGATGTAATGTGCCTGAAACACTGCTGCGTGTGTATGTGTGCATGTATGTGTGCAAAAGAGCTTTAAAGTAGAGCTAGACGGAAGAAAATCAGAAGGAAAAGCGAGAGCAAAAGTTGAAGGAGGGGAAAAAATAAAAAGCTAAAGAAAGGTGCCAATTCTAGCGTTTCATCTGGGCAAGATAAAAGAACAGAGGAGCACATTAAATGTTAACTTTGATGCTCTGAAACTCCCTCGCCATAATCACACACACACATACAGTATGTAAACAAGCATAAGCACTAAGGCTTATAAATTGAGCTTATTTATTTAAACACAGTCCATAAAATTTGAAATATTGAATTATGGCGGCGGTCACACGTTACGGCACAAACGTTCACAGTGGGGGTCAAACAGCTGTATTTGCTTCCCTGCACATTAGCATAATGAACATCCGATAAGAGGTGCTACTGAACAGCCCCGCTGAAATAAGAATACCATGTCTGGCAACAGCAGACGGCAAATTATGAAACACAAGATGAGAAATAGGACTGAAGGAAAACAAGCGATTTCTCTTTAAGGTGCTTGTATTGCGACTGCTAAAATATTCATGACATTTAAAAACTTGTCAGGTACATTGAATGTTTCACATGATGTTGGGGCCAACAGAGAGCGTGGCAGCAGCAGCAGGAATGAATTGAAAATATGAGAAATGGTAAAAATGAAGAAAAGCTGTGACAGATGGTTTATATATAGAGCGGTGCAAATTGTGTGCGATCTCGTGACTTAACACTCAGATCAACATTTAAATATCATTAAAGAGCATCAACACTCTTCATCCACCCTTTCTCAACCAGTGACAGTTAGAATGCTGATCGTATTATTGACCATTCAACAAATAAAAATGTCTATTGAGCTTTAATATATGAACCCCAAATTATTAAACCAGGTTTAAAAATTAATCGTTATCTTCATTCTTAAACCAGAATTTTAACACTAGTGATTGTTCTTCAGGAGTGACTTGCATATGTCCCTTCAGCAACACATCATTGGTCTTAACACATTTTCTGTTCTTATGTATTCTGCTATAAATACTTCCTCCATTTACTCCATCCATCCTCCATCCATCCGTCCGTCCGTCCATCTGTCCGTCCATCCATCCATCCATCCATCCTCCATCCATCCATCCATCCATCCATCCATCCACCTCACAGGTGTAGCATATAAAGATGCTGACTAGACACCATGATTATTGCACAGGTGTACCTTAGGCTGGCCACAATAAAAGGCCACTCTACAATTCATCCCACAGCACAATGCCACAGATGTCGCAAGTTTTGAGGAAGCGTGCGATTGGCATGCTGACTGCAGGAATGTCCCCCAGAGCTGTTGCCCGTGAATTGAATGTTTCTCGACTATAAACTGTCTCCAAAGGCGTTTCAGAGAAGTAGCAGTACATTCAACTGGCCTCACAACTAACCACACCAGCCCAGGACCTCCACATCCAGCATCTTCACCTCCAAGATCGTCTGAGACCAGCCACCCAGACAGCTGCTGCAACCATCAGTTTGCATAACCAAAGAATTTCAGCACAAACTGTCAGAAAGTGTCTCAGGGAAGCTCATCTGCATGCTCCTCATCGGGGTCTCGACCTCACTGCAGTTCGTGTCGTAGCCGACTTGAGTGGGCAAATGCTCACATTCAATGGCGTCTGGCACTTTGGAGAGGTGCTATCTTCACGGATGAATCCCAGTTTTCACTGTATAGGGCAGGTGGCAGACAGCGCGTATGGCGTCGTGTGGGGTTGTCATCGTTATGAATCGAGCAGCCCATGGTGGCGGTGGGGTTATGGTATAGGCAGGCGTATGTTATGGACAACAAACACAGATGCATTTTATTGATGGTATTTTGAATGCACAGAGACACCGTGACGAGATCCTGAGGCCCATCTTTGTGCCGTTCATCCACAACCATCACTTCATGTTGCAGCATGATAATGTACCACAAGGATGTGTACACAACTCCTGGAAGCTGAAAACATTCTTGCATGGCCAGCATACTAACCGGACATGTCAGCCATTGAGCGTGTTTGGGATGCTCTGGATCAACGACAGCGTGATCCAGTTCCTGCCAATATTCAATGACTTCACACAGCCATTGGAGAGAAGTGGACAATCAACAACCTGATCAACTCTATATGAAGGAGATGTGTTGCAT